AATGGAAAAAATAAAAGGGACTACATCAAACTAAAAGGCTTTTGCACAGCAAAAGAAAGCATTAACAAAGAAAAGGGGACCCACTGCATGGGAGAACATATTTGCCAATGATATATCTGATAAGGGATTAATTTCCAAAATATATAAAGAACTTACACAACTCAACACCAGAAAGACAAACAACCCAATTAAAAAATGGGCAAAGGACTTAAATAAATACTTCTCTAGAGAGGACATATAGATGGCCAATAGACATATGAAAAAGTGCTCAATGTCACTAATCATCAGAGAGCGGCAAATTAAATCCACAATGCGCCCTAGCTGGTTTGGCTCAGTGGATACAACATAGGCCTGCAGACTGAAGTGTTCCGGGTTCAATTTCAATCAAGGGCACATGCCCAGGTTGTAGAGTCGATCCCCAGTGGACCATAGGAGGCAGCTGATGAATTATTCTCATCATTGATGTTTCTATCTTCCTCTCCCTTTTCTGAAATCAATAAAAATATATTTTAAAAAACACGCCACAATGAGATATTATTTCATACCTGCCAGATTGGCTATTATCAACAAATCAACAAACAAGTACTGGTGAGGATGTGAAGAAAAGGGAACCCTTGTGCACTATTGCTAAGAATGCAGATGGTGCAGCCACTGTGGAAAACAGTATGGAGTTTCCTCAAAAAATTAAAAATGAAACTGCTTTGACCCAGTGATCCCACTTCTGGCCATATGTCCTAAGAAACTGGAAACAATTAATTTGAAAGAATATATTCACACCTACATTCATTATAGCATTATTAAAAATAGCCAAGATCTGAAAACATCTCAAGTGCCCATCAGCAGAAGAGTGGGTTAATGAAAGCTGTGGAAATTTACACAATGGAATACTATGCACCTCTGAAAAGAAAGGAAATTTTACCTTTTTGCAATTGCTTGGATGCACCTGGAGATTATTATTCTAAGTAAGATAAACGAGTCAGAGAAAGACAAATACCATATGAACTCACTTATATGTGGAATCTAATAAATAAAATAAACTGATGGGCAAAATAGAAACAGAGGCATGGATACATGGAACAGACTGACAACTGTCAGAGGGAAGCGCTGGATGCAGAAGGTGAAGGGGTTAACCAAAAAGACATATCCTATGTAATGAAAGCGTAATATGCTAAAAGCCTGACCAATTGGTTGACCACTCTGTTGACCACTTGACCAGTTGCTATGATGCTCACTGGCCACCAGGGGGAAGATGCTCTGACTGGTTGGTTAGTTGCTGCTGGGGTCCTGCCCACTGGGACTGGGCAAGAGGGCCAAACACACCCTGGAGCCCTCCTGCTGTCCCTTCCTAGTCAGCTGGACCCAATAGGCCCTGATCAGGACTGATCGCTGGCGAGGCCGAGGAACCCCACCCGTGCATACTAGTAAATTCGTGTATCGGGCCTCTAGTATACATATAACACACAGACACAGACAACAGTGTGGTGATAGCCAGAGGAAACGAGGTGGATGTGAGCAAAGGGAGGAAAAAATGGGGACTGAAAGAGACTTTGCTTGGGGTGATGGGCACATGATGCAGTGTGTAGATGAAGTTTTATTGTCTTGTACACTTAAAACCTATATGGTTTTGCAAACCAATGTCACCCCCATAAATTCGATAAAACAATAAAGGTAGAAATTTTGAGGCAAGAGGTGATAATCTGGATTCTGACCACTTGGAACATCATGTCTAGCACCCAGAGGAGGGGGACACATGTTAAGAGGAAAGAAGACAAGCTGCAGGTTTGCCAGAGACTTCTGCAAACCAGCGTCAGCTGGGGGAGTAGGAGAAGCACAGGCCCAGGACAGGCCTGGTGGCTTTTTCCACATGGCTGCAGTGTTTGTATGGAAAGAGCAGAGTACCTGAGTTTCGTATGGCCCTTGAAGTCAGAGCCAGGGCTGGTGGGAGAAGCTGGAAGATGGAGACAGAAGTTCTAACAGTCCTAAGGTGGATTCCTCTTCCTGCAAATATCAGTGGCCCAATGTGAAAAGGAAATGAAGGAACCCCAGTCAAGGCCCTGGAGGTCACTGTGAGAATCATGAGGTCAGCAACCTAGTGGTCAGTGAGCCGGCATATTCAATTGCGAAGTTTTTTTTCTTTTTCTTCTATTATAATACATTTTTGTTAATTTCAGAGAGAAAGGGAGGAGAGAAAGAAACATCAGTGATGAGAGAGAATCACTGATTGGCTGACTCCTGTGCGCCCCCACACGGGGGATGGAAACTGAAATCTTGGCATGTACCCTCAGTGGGAATTGATCTCCTAGTTCATGGGTTGAAGCTCAACCACACCAGCCAGGCTGGGAAGAAGTTTTGCCATCACTCAGCCCAACCACTGTCTCCTTTGTTTATTCGTGCCCATGACATTCACATGCTCCCATGGATCCCAGATGAGATGACTTGGGGTTATGCAGAATTCCCAGTGTACTCACATAATTCCTGACCCCTTCTCCCCTTTTTTTCCTTCTTACTCAGGAAGGCAATGTGGAACTCAAGTGACTGGGATATATCCTATTATAGAAACAATCTGTTTTAATTCACGGAAAATAGCACATCACCTGAGCTTCAGATCAATGATGAGTGACAAGTTCCTCCATGCAATGCTCCTCATACCTAACAGCCATCTACCTGTGTCCCACCCAACACTTATATTTCACGATAGGGAAAATGAGGCCCAGCCAGGGGAAAGGACCACAGTCATGTGACTATGAAGGATGGGTTCCAGGAGTCAACGTCCTATGGCTCCTCCTGTGACTGAGAGTTGCCACTTCGATTTTGGTAGTGTGAAGGATAGGCTGGTGGGAGGACAAAGAAAGAAGTGAGATATGACCCTTCTGTATTCCATCCAGGCCACATCTACAGGGAGATGCCTGAGTCCAATACATACTTAATGTCGTCCTTGGCCTTCCCCAACAAGTGCTTGGAGGTGAGGTGGAGCTGGTAAGGAGTGATATAGTTGAATTGTCTACCCCCAAAAGGTATGCTGACGTCTCAACCACCAGTACCTCCGAATGACCTTATTTAGAAATAGGGTCTTTACAGAGGTGATCAAGTTGAAATGTAGTCATTAGGGTGGCCCTAATCCAATATGTTTAGTGTCTTTATAAAAAGAAATTTAGCCCTAGCTGGTTTGGCTCAGTAGATAGAACATCAGCCTGAGGACTAAAGGGTCCCTGGTTTGATTCTGGTCAAGGGCACATGCCTGGGTCATGGGCTCAATCCCCAGGAGGGAGCATGCAGAGGGCAGCCGATCAATGTTTCTCTTTCTTCTTCTTTTTTTTTCTTCATGAATCAGAAAATTTAAAGTTATTAAGATAGTAATACTACCCAAACTAATCTACAGATTCAATATAACTATCAAAATCTAGATTTTTATTTTTTTAAATTAATTAATTAATTAATTAATTTTGATTTTTTTTGCCCCCCTCCCTCCCAATGATTCTCTTTCATCATTGATGTTTCTGTCTCTTCCTCTCCCCTCCTCTCTGAATCAATACAAATATATTTAAAAATAAAAATAAAATAAAAAGTTGGCTCAGTGGTTGAGCATCGACCTATGAACCAGGAGGTCACAGTTTGATTCCCTGTCAGGGCACATGCCCAGGTTGCGACTCGATCCCTAGTGTGGGGCATGCAGGAGGCAGCTGATCAATGATTCTCTCTCATCATTGATGTTTCTAGTTCTCTCTCCCTGTCTGAAATCAATAAAACTATGTTTATCAATCAAATAAAAAGAAGTTTACACCTAGAGACGGACGCATGCACAGGGACAATGTATGAAGAGGAAGGCCGAGATGGGGGAGATGCTTCTGTAAACCAAGGAAAGCCAGCCACCCACGAGAAGCTAAAGGCATGGAACAGATTCTCCCTCACACCTCTCAGGAGGAACCAATCCTGCCCATACCTTGATCTCGACCTTCCAACTTCCCGAACTGTGAGAGAATAAGTATCTGTTTTTGAAGGCCCTACTCTGTGTTATAACAGCGCTAGGAAATGAACACCGGTGAAATGAGGCTTACAGCTACTCCTCACTGGATCTTCTCCTGACAGCCCTGCCCTTCCACACCCAATCATTCTGCGTAGTGCTCTATCCACAATACACTATTGTTGCCCTTAAACACCTCCACCCTCACCCGCGGCCCCAGCCCATTTGCACACTGCAGGGGGTGGAGGGGCTGGGGCACTCCATGGCCATGGGGGCAGGCCCAGAACACACACTGCTTTGGCTTGAGCGGCTGAGGCGGAGGATGAAAAAGGATGATGCCTGAGGCATTTCAAAAGGCAGACTGTTTAGCACTCAGGGCTGCTGAGAGGCAGGGTGCACGAGTTGGAAGGTGAAAAGTGCTTGCGGGAGTTGGGGATGCAGAGGCCAAAGGCACATTATCTGGGGAAAGCAAGGCCACCCCTCAGCTCCCACCCTGATGCACCTCCCGACAGCATCAATACACACACCTCGCTTGTGACCAAGTTCTGTTTATTTTAGAAGCATAAACAGCGGAACCAGGAAGGAGTGATGAGAACAAGACACCAGCCTCCTTGACAGGTGCTGCGTGTGTAATCCAGGCCTACCCAGCGGCCTGGTCCAGGCTCTTCCTGCCAGGAGAGGGTGCCGAGGACAGCCTGGGTGGAGGAGAAAGTTCCATGATGGTGGGGGTGGAGTAACTTGGCTTTGGGCCCCTCTGGACAAAGTGAAAAAGGCCAGAGGGCCAAAGCCGTTGGTCAGGAGCACCCCACGCTGGCTCTGTCTGTTCCTGCGGCAAAGCCAGGCTCTGGAGGGGAAACCATGAGCTGTCATCTGGTCACTAGGAAGGCCCCAGGTGTCCAAGAACAACTAATAGTGAAGCCCATGGCCAGCAAGCACCCGCTTCCCCTGCCCTAGTCATCTCTGCAGAGCCTCAAGGAGGGGCACCCAAGGCAGCCAGACTTCCGAGGCCCTGCTGTTGGGTGACATAAGCCCCAAGTTCCTACAGATATTGTTTCTTAGAGGCATGGCTGCTGGGGTATTTCTGGCTGCTCTCGGGGTACGGGTCCACAAAGGGGGGTGGCCTAGAAGCAGCCAGCCTCTCCTCCGTGGTCAGGTTAGCCCAGTTCTGCTCACTGGACGAGAGCCCGCTGTAGACGGGGCATGGCTCGGAAGAGGGCTCCTTGCCCATGGGGAGGTAGAAGACCTGGTTAGCGTAGGGCTCGGGGCTGGTGCCCTGAGCCAGGGCGGCATTCTGGCCCTGCTGGGCCTTCAGTCTCCTTGTGAGGTAGCGGTACAGCAGGTGCACCAGCTCCAGCAGGTTGAGCAGCAGGGAGATGAACCCGACCACCTGCATGAAGATGATGAAGATAGTCTTCTCGGTGGGGCGAGAGACATAGCAGTCCACCGAGTGGGGGCAGGGCAAGCGGTGGCACACATACAAGGGGGCCATGGTCCAGCCGTAGAGACGCCACTGGCCATACAGGAAGCCTGCCTCGAGTACGCTCTTGCAGATCACGCTGACCACGTAGGTGCCCATCAGCGCCCCTCGGATCCGCATGCGACCATCCTCGGCCACCGAGATCTTGGCCATCTGACGCTCTATGGACGCCAACGTCCTTTCCACGCACGGGTCCTTGTGCGGCATCGCCCGCAGCTCCTCCTCCTTCTGCCGCAGCCGCTCCTCGCGCCGAGACAGGTGGATGACGTGGGCCAGGTAGATGAGGGTGGGCGTGCTGACAAAGAGGAACTGCAGCACCCAGTAGCGGATGTGGGAGATGGGGAAGGCCTGGTCGTAGCAGACGTTGGTGCAGCCCGGCTGGGCCGTGTTGCACAGGAAATCCGACTGCTCGTCACCCCACACGGACTCGCCGGCCAGGCCCAGGATGAGGATGCGGAAGATGAAGAGCACGGTCAGCCAGATCTTGCCCACCACGGTGGAGTGCTGCTGGACCTGGTCCAGCAACTTTTCCAGGAATCCCCAGTCACCCATGGCTCCTGGGCTTCTGTCTGCAGGGAGACAGAAAACACGGGTCAGGCGGGCATCCTTCTCGGCTGGCCTAGCAACAAGCCTGCAGTGAGGCGGGCCATGCCCTTTTATCTACAGGGAAACTGAGGCTCAGGGCAGGGAAGGGACTAGCCTGAGGGCTCACACCCAGCAGGGTGGTCAGGACTAAAAGCACATCTTCGGATGATGGCTGCTAAGCGCCGCTGGCAGAGGTCCCGTCTAGTCACACATCCGGGTCCCTCTTGTTCCCAGCCGGAGTCCCAGGGTGACCACAGCCCAAAAAAAAAAAATTCAGCTCAAGTTGAGGCTCCTGAGCCTCTGGGAACGGAGCATCAGAGGAATGTATCCAAGGTCACACAGCTGTGCCGCATCCCTCGTCCCTTCTGTCCAGGACAGGCTGTCCCCAGACAGTGGGAGGGGGTGGTGGTGCGATCCTCAGCTTCTCAGGGTACCCAAAGCCCGGGGTCTCCACTCCCTTCCTCGGATCTCATTCTAACTTTTGAGTTTGTGGCAGGAGGAGCGTTAGACAGCATCCTGTGTCAGCTCCACCTGCCAGCAATCGGGACCTGCTCTTCAGGATGGAAGCTTGATCCTGCCCCCTCCCTCCAATCCAAGACACCCCCTCTATACACACACACACACACACACACACACACACACACACACGCTATTGCTGCCCAATTGTCACAGCAGGAGAGCAGGGGAGTGGCACAGGTCACACCGCTCCCAGAACATCTTGGGGCCCTGGAGGAAGGGGAAGGAGGAGCAGAGGAACCAGACCTGGGTTCCCATCCCGACTCCCTCTTACAAACTGAGACCTCGCTTATGGGACAACCTCTCAGCACCTCTCTTGTAAAATGGAAATAATTAATAATAATAATTATAATAATAATAATAATATTCCTGTCTCCTGCGGTTATAAGGATATAATGAAAGGGGATAGGAACCTTGCTTAGCACAAAGCCTGGCTACAGGCAGCCTGGATGAATGCCTCTAAGGTGGTTGGTACCCCACCGCCCTTACTCCCCCCCACTAAGCAGCAACCCCAGCCCCCAAGCGCACTCACCGCCTGCCTGCCAGGCGGCCCAGGTGCTGGCGGGGACGCGGTGGCCGAGCGGCGCCCGGGAGCCCTGCTGGGACCCAGCCTGGAGGCCGGGGCGCCTTAAATAGCGCCGAGGGGCGGGGCAGGAAGCGGGGCGGGAGGGCAGCGGGCGGTTTCTCAGAGCCGGGGGGATGGGATGGGACGGGAGGTGCAGCCGAGTCTCCCACAGGACTCTCCTGGAAGGGGCTGGGGGGATGGCGCTGGGGGCGGGGGTGCAGGGGCTCTCCCCGCCTCCAGCTAACGGTACTCCAGGCCTTAACTCTCCCGGCCGCAGTTTCTTTGGGGATGGAATAAAGTTTTTCAGGGCGGGTGGAGCCGGGGTATTCGAAAGTATTACAGCAGGAATTTGCTGATCCCCGCAACTGGCCTGAGAGGGTGTGAGGGTGGGCAGGTGGGGATGGGAATGGGAGCGGGGAGCAGACTGTTCTAAGATGTGATTGGTGCCAGATCCTATATCTGGATGCCAGACGCCACTCAAGGGGGACAGCGTCTCCTAAATCCGCATCTCCCCCGCCCCAAACAGATCGACCCCTCCCCTGGGCTCCACACGCGCTGGTTCCAGGTACAGGCTGGTGCCCTGCCCCCAGCGACATGCCTGTGTTAGGCATTTCCCCCTTGTCTGGGGTGCGGCATGCCCAGCGCCCGGATCCGTTCTGACCTGTCCGGTATGACAGCTTAGCACTTGCCACGAGAGCTGAGAATGCCCACATCTTCCTTCCCACATGACGTGCCTCCTCTGAGTAATGTACGTTCCCATAATAAACTCTTGATTAATGCTGTGATTAATGCTGGAGTTGTAAGCCTCTTCAGGCTCCGAGCCTGGGAAATGTTATGTAACAGGGCCTTTCCTCCACTCTGGGGGCCTATTGTCCTTGGTGAGAAGAAGGGAGATCACGCATTTGTTATGCAGCCATGGTGCTCCCTCCACCCCACTGGACAGGCAATAAAGGCTCATTAGGACATGGGGGACCACAGCGCCCTCCCTAGAGACTGTGATGGAGCCTGTATCCTTGCAGAATGCTCAAACATCCCCACTACACAACCAAAAGTCACCAAAACTCCCATGCCCTACTTGACAACTGGGGAGGGGGCACTTTCTGGACCTTTAGTGTGGATCGCATCTTCATGGCGCTAAATGGGAGGGTGGGGCAGCTAGAGCCCCCATGGCTCATTCCGGCTTCACCCTGTTGCTGAATATTAATAAAGGTCTCTGTGGCATGGAGCCAGGGATTCCACCTTAACCAGCCACATGTGATCGCTGGCCACAGGCTCTCACACTAGATGGAACAGGTGGGAAGGGAGCATATCAGCTCTCGGGATAACAGTAAAATGGGAAATGGGGATAACAGTAAAATGGGAAATGGGCAAAGTTCTCTTGAGAAGGACAGGGGGACTCACAGGGGACTTGGTTAGAAACCTTTCCTGGAGGAGACTTAGCCAGGTTGGGAGTGGGGGTGGGGTGGGGTGGGGTGGGAGAAGAGCATTCTAGGCAGAAGGAACAGAAAGAGCAAAGGCCCGAGGACCTGGGGCTGCCAGGTCCTGAGACCTTGGCCACAGTCTCCAGAGCGCTGGCCTTGGTGGGCGGAAGCAGTAGAGCCGAAATTGAGACCTTGCTGTGGACCCCTTGCCCTGAGGCATGTTGCACAAACCCCTGTGCCTCAGTTTCTTCCTCTGCATAAGGAGGATAATAATAATCCTGTGCAGGGTTGATAGGCGATCCGGTGAAAGCACATAGCAATTACTGATACACAGAAAGTTTTCAAGTTGAGTGGTGGCTAAAATCATGTGACAAAATGGATCTGAGGGTTGGTCTTAGTGGGAGCTGTGGACCAAAAAAAAATTAGAGCTTCTATGGAAAGTAACTGTTAGATCACCAGAGCAAGGATGATCGGCCAGGTACAGAAACTTGCCAGGGCAGAAGGCTCCAGATGCCTAGCAGGGGGCAAAACTGGGAAAACAAAAAATTTGTCCCCAGGATCACCTATCCTCTCCTAGCACTTATTGGTCCTGTGGTTTGGACCCCTGATCTTTCATATTGCTGGTCTGGCAGTTTAGACCCCCTGACCTTTTCCTCCCTAACGATAACATCTAGGCCTCAGTTGTATTTGAGCTCCAGGCCCAGAAAAGCAGCAAAAGCAGACAAGTGATGTCATGGCTGCCTCAGGACCCTGCCCTGGTATTGACCAATCCGTAGAGACCATGACCCTGAAAAAGCGCACCTGGGAAGCTGATGAATATTCTATTGAGACCTTTCCTGGAGCTTCCCCTACGATTGCACTATATCTTCTCTACAAATAGTAATAATTTAAATCATGTGTATGGTCTTCATGTATTTGCCTGTATATGTGTTTTCTGCCTCCAGATGGCACCACTAGGGTATAATGTTTTATTGGACTACAGAGGTTAAATAATTATATAAATTAAATAGGATATTAGCCGAAACCGGTTTGGCTCAATGGATAGAGCGTCGGCTTGGGGACTGAAGGGACCCGGGTTCGATTCCGGTTAAGGGCATGTACCGCCAGGACCGGTTTGGCTCAATGGATAGAGTGTCGGCTTGGGGACTGAAAGGGCCCGGGTTCGATTCCGGTCAAGGGCATGTACCTTGGTTGCGGGCATATCCCCAGTAGGGGGTGTGCAAGAGGCAGCTGATCGATGACTCTCTCTCATCGATGTTTCTAACTCTCTATCTCTCTCCCTTCCTCTCTGTACAAAATCAATAAAATATATTAAAAAAAAAAAAAAGAAAGAATACCACCCTTTCTTCTAAAAAAAAAAAAAAAAAAGGGCATGTACCTTGGTTGCGGGCATATCCTCAGTAGGGGGTGTGTAAGAGGCAGCTGATCGATGACTCTCTCTGATCGATGTTTCTAACTCTCCATCTCTCTCCCTTCCTCTCTGTATAAAATCAATAAAATATATTTAAAAAAATAGGATATTATGGTCTAGACAAAATATTTAATATTAAAACCAGTTTAAGTTTAATTAATAACCTTTAAAGTTATTACCATAATATATACATTTGTTTTACCTAGAGTTATAATATAGCTAGAGGACCTGAGGCAGGGGGAGGGGTGGTCCCTCAGCCTGGGCTGCACTTTCTTGAGACCCCTCAGGGGATATTTGCCTGCTGTCTTAGGCTCTAAGCCAGCAAGTGGACATTCCTGGAGAGGCTCCTGCCACTGCTGCTGTGCTTGCCAGCTGTGAGCCTGGCTTCTGACTGAGCAGCGTTTCCTCTGTGGGAGTACACAGACCACTAGGGGGCAGTTCCTGCATTGGGTGTCTGTCCTCTGGTGGTCAGTGTGCATCATAGTGACCACTTGTTCCACTGTTTGATTGATTTGCATATTAGGGCTTTATTATATAGGATCTTTTGGTTAAGTATATTTGACAATCTTCCCAAAGTTTAAATTCTTTCTTTCTTTTTTTGTTTGTTTGTTAATCCTATGAGGATATTTTTCAATTGAGTTTTAGAGAGAGTGGAAGAGAGGGAGAGACAGAGAGAAAGAAGCATGATGCAAGACACGACACATCTATTGGTTGCCTCCTGCATGCCCCAACAGGGTCGGGGGATCAGCTTGCAACTGAGGTATGTGTCCTTGACAGGAATTGAACCCATGACCCTACAGTCCATGGGCCAACACTCTATCCACTGAGCCAAACCGGCTAGGGCCCAAAGCTTAAATTTCAAAAGACTTTCTTCTTTCTTTCTTTCTTTCTTTCTTTCTTTCTTTCTTTCTTTCTTTCTTTCTTTCTTTCTTTCTTTCTTTCTTTCTTTCTTTCTTTCTTTTTTTTTAACAGAGAAATGACTTTGAGTTATTACAGTGGGCCCTGAAACACCTCAAGGATTTATTCTCTCTCCTAAGTTTCTAAACTAATTAGA